GCACAGTGGGTAGGGCGTTTGCCTTGCACGCAGCCAACATGGCCGACCCAAGTTCGATTCCTCCGCCCCTCTCAGAGAGCCCGGCAAGCTACTGAGAGTATCTCGCTCTCATAACAGAGCCTGGCAAGCTACCTGTGACAAATTCGATATGCCAAACACAGTAACAATCGTCACAATGGAGACGTTACTGGGCCTGCTCGATCAAATTGATGAACAATGGGAGGACAGTGACAGTGACAGTGAAATAAAGGGATAAAAAGAGCTGTGTAACATTTGTGAAATGAGTTTCTTACTATTCAACAAAATCGCTCAATGGGCTCCAGCTTGTGCTTATTGTTTTTTGACCTAACCTGGTCAAAAAACAATACAAACCACAAAGCAAGTGTATGATTGGTCCACACAACAAGTTGAATGCAAATCAACAGCATCATGCTGAGTAAAAGAAATCAGTCTGGGAAATTCCCTACTGCCTAACTCTATTTGTATGACTTTTTGAAAGACAAAGTGATACATCTGTGGTTGCCAGGCTTTGGAGTGGTGAGAGGGAATGATTACTTACAGAGGACTGCCTGGGTTTGATGTGGGAGGATGCTGGGCTGGGAACCCTTGGCCACTGGAGTTGAAGGGAGTGTTTACCAAAAAAATGAAGCAAAAGAGGGAGGCAGAGCACAATAGGATGTTGTCAGAACTTCTTTGGTAAAGGTAAAGGCCCTCCCGTTGATCGTCGATTTGCTCGAGTGGGCCCAGTAACGTCTCCATTGGAGACTTTTGTTGTTACTGTGTCTGGCATATCGAATTTTTTTTATTTTAATGAATCATCATGAGATACATTTACAGACTTTCATGATTGCATTTCAGTCAAACAATGTTCAAGTATCCATCCCTCCACCAGTGCCCATTCCCCACCACCAATGTTCTCAGCATCCCTCCTCTCACCTCAACTCCTTCCCACCTCCTACCTCTGTGGCAGGCACAATCTCTCTTACTCTCTCTGTCCTTTTGGGTGTTATGGTTTGCAATACAGGTAAGAAGCAGTCATCATGTTTGGTCCATAGTCTACTTTCAACACACATCTACTATCCTGAGTGATCCCTCCAACCATCATTTTCTTAGTTAGTGCTCCTTTCTCCACCCCAGCTACCTTTACTCCCCAGTGCATGATATTAGCTATCAAGCATTGTGGCAGTCCTCCTGACCCTTATTTCAACTGTCCTTAAATGCTAGTCTCCTATTATGTTACTTTATATTCCACAGAGAAGTGCAATCCTTTTATGTCTGTCCCTCTCTTTCTGACTCATTTCTCCATGTTGATACACTTTTATGTAAATTTAATTATTTCATTTTTTTCCCTAACAGCTGCATAGTATTTCTTTGTGTAGATAAACCAAAACTTCTTTAACCAGTTGTTTGTTCTCGGGCACTCAGGTTTTTTCCAGGTTCTAGCTATTTAAGTAGTGCTGCAATAAACATCCAAGTGCAGATGTCATTTCTATTGTACTTTTTTACATCTCCGAGATATATTTCCAGAAGTGATATTGCTGGGTCAAATGGGAGCTAGATTTCTAGCTTTTTGAGACATGTCCATATTATTTCCAAAAAGACTGGACCAGTCAGTGGGCATTCCCACCAGCAGTGAAGGAGAGTCCCTTTCTCCCTGCATCCATGTCAACACTGGTTGTTTTTGTTCTTTTGGATGTGTGCCAGTTTCTGTGGTGTGAGATGATATTACACAGTTGTTTCAATCTACATCTCCCTGATGATTAGTAATGAAGAGAATTTTTTTTTTTTGCTTTTTGGGTCACACCCAGAGATGATCAAAGATTATTCCTGGCCCTGCACTCGGGAATTACTCCTGGTGGTGCTCAGGGGACCATATGGGATGCTGGGATTTAAAGCCGGGTTGGTCGTGTGCAAGGCAAACACTCTACCCTCTGTGCTATTGCTCCAGTCCCAAGATCATTTTTTCATGTGTCTTTTGACCATTTGAATTTCTTCTTTGAGAAAGTTTCTGTTCATTTCATTGGCCCATTTTCTGATGGGATTGGAAGTTTTATTTTTTGCAGAGTTCAACCAGTGCCTTGTATATCCTTGATATTAACCCCTTATTGGAGGGGTATTGGGTGAATATCCTCTCCCATTCTGTAGACTGTCTTTGTATTCTGGCCCCTGTTTCTTTTTGTTGTCAGAACTTTTAAAGCAGCAGTAAGTAGTAACTGGGAGCTAAATATGCTTTTACTTTCTATAGAGAATGTGGAATTCCCCAAGGGGCTTGACTTTCAGACTCTTGGGAAGTACGTCATTATTCTTTCTACTAAATTCCCTGGATCTGGTCATCTCAGCCCTCCAGTATAACCCCCTCTTCACATATGAACACGTGAACTGTGAGATTTATCTGCAGGGATTGGTCCCCTGGAAGGGCTTAGTTCTTTAAAGTGGACTATAATGGTCTTCTCTCTGAATGAATATCTCTCATGTGTCTCCCTCCAAATGACTGAAATTTCTCTTCTGGCACAGAGGACTGTACCAGCCCCTACCCAGGGGATTTTTCCTCTCAAGGGGCTTCAACTTAAAGTCTCTCCCCACAAGTTTCCTGTCAGGGCTTGGCAGTACCTGCATCACAACCTTCCCCTGTCACACCGTAACCTGAATGGAGCCTCAGTATCCCCAAATTAAGAAAAAGCAGGGAGACATTTGATCCAGCAATACCACTCCTGGGAATATATCCTGGAGAGGCAAAAAAGTACAGCTGAAGTGACATCTGCACTTCTATGTTCATTGCTGCTCTGTTCACAATAGCCAAAATCTGGAAAAAAAAACCCTGAGTGCCCGAGAACAGATGACTGGTTAAAGAAACTTTGGTACATCTATACGATGGAGTACTATGCAGCTGTTAGAAAAGATGAAATCACGAAATTTAAATACAAATAGTACTACATGGAAAGTATCATGCTAAGTGAAATGAGTCAGAAAGAGAGGGACAGACATAGAAATATCTCATTCATCTGGGGAATATAAAGTAAAGAAATAGGAGACTAACATCCTAGAATAGTTGAGATAAGTTACAAGAGGTTTACTCCATGGCTTGAAGGCCAGCTGCACATGCTACGGGAAAGGGCAGCTCAGACAGAAAAGGGAATACCAAGTAAAGGGTGTTGGGATTCTCCCAGGATGGGAGATGCATGCTGAAAGTAAACTATAGACCGAACATGATTGCCATTCAAAGCCTCTTTTGCAAGCCTCAGCACCCAAAAGGAGAGAGCGAACAAAAGGCAATACCCTGCCACAGAGCCGGGATGGGATGGGGGTATGAGAGGGGTGGGAGGGTTACTGGGATCATTGGTGGTGGAGAATGGGCACTGGTGGGGGAATGGGTACTCACCCATTGTATGACTGAAACCGAAGTACAAAAACTTGTAAGCTCAACAACTGTACCACATGGTGTTTCACTAATAAAAAAATTTAAAAGGAAAAGAAAAGAAAAAGTGGGAAGAAGTCCAGAAACCAGGGCAAGGCTTCATCTAGATTGTGAAATCTAGATGCTTCGAAATCCACATGAGCATTCTTAAAATATCATCTGAAGTCTTTTCTAAGCACAATCAGGAGGAGAATGAGTAACTTTGGGTTTGAGAACAACAGAAAGATTAACTCAGTGAGAATTCTGATGGAAGGAGTCATATCTAGAAACTTGAGTTTGCTTTTCTCTTTTGCCTCCATCCAAACTCCTAGTAAGGAGTAAGAGCCCATTATCAAAGAAATGCTGGCCCCTTTCAGCTCTCACCAGAGGCCTTCTTCCTCCTACAGATGTCCATCTGCAATCCTAAACATTCACTTTCCTAAACAAGAAAAAGAGAGCAAGCACCAACATGCATAAATGTCATTATATATAAAGACATTGACAAAACTGGCCAAATGGCTAGAAATTGGATTTTTTTCTTTAGTTCTCTGACCTTGAGGATTGCCAGGTGCAACATGAATAAAGTGATGAAGTGCTTACTGAGACAAGTCTAGTCTCTTCACTGAGTGTAGGGGAGGCATGGGCATGAAATGAGCAAGAGTTGCAGTGCAGGAAGTGTGAGTCTCCCCACTACCCTGGGGTGCAGCACAACAAAATGTGTCACCCTGATATGTCAGTCATGTGTGTAACTCCAGACTGTGACCAAGGAGAAACCCAGAAATGTGAGGTGCCAATGGCAGAGGCTCCTACAGCCTTTTCTGAGGTCATAGTCTCCTTCATTCTGTGCCAGAAATGTTTGTATTTGAGTTTCTCCTCTATCTTTGTTTACCCAGAAGTAATGTACAATGATTGTCAAATGACAGTCTCTCAAACTGGAGGTCTTGTTCCCTAAGAGAGTTCATACTCCAAAGCTTTATCCTCACATCAAGAAATCTACAGGAGAGCCTAAGAATAAGGGCCAGGGCTAAGGAAGTTCTTCCCATGCGGCCAGCCCTGACTCAGTTCCCTGCGCAGTGTACTTCCTGGTGCAGCCTCAGATGCCCCAAGTATTCACAGACCCTTGAAGAATCTCGGGGATGGACCCAGGATTCCTGGGCTCTACTTGAAAAGCTCAAAAGCAAAAAAAAATAAATAAAAGACAGAAATCTACAAGAATGAATCACTAAAAGTGATAAAGAGAATAAAAATGTAACAATTCCAACTGTAGCTCATCAGAGTTACTCAAGTTGGTCATTCTCACCCCTCTCATAAATTAATCACACAGACAGCCTCTGGATGGAGACAATTATGGGAAGGCAGGTGTGGATGCAATTGTTTTTTATTGAAAGAAGTGATAAATTGTTAACACAGGGCCCACCTCACAACCCACTCCTCAACCTCCCAAATCATATGGAACAAGCACTGGGACAGGGAAGCATGTGTGGCATGACCAGAGCACTAACTTGAGCAATTACTCTCTGAAGAAGGAGAAAAAAGGGGAGAGGATCAGCGAGGGTGATGAGGTGGTGGGACATGTCCCTCTATGACCTTAGACTGAAGCTGTCAGCTAAGGCTCAAAATGTACAGGCCCAAGTGGGGTCCCGTCACATGCCACAGTGATGAGTTGCTTAATGGTTGGGTGGGTGATGTATGTACAGTTGGGAGGTCTGGGGCGACTTCTCAGTACACAGAGTGTGGTGGACATGGGATATCTACTACTGTAGCAGTTGTTCATAGTCCTATTCTTGCAGGGTACACTTTGGTCTCCGCAGATAGCCTGGACCGATGACAGGGGCTCATGTATAAAGGTGTTCTTTGCCTTGCAAAATCCCCGAGTCATGTTCCGGTGCACCATCATCACGTTGCAGTAGGTGTGGTTGCCCATGGGGCCAGTGCCCAGGTCCATGTGCTGTCTCTGGAACCTCATGGCCCTTGTTTCCTGGCACAGGGAAGTCCCAAACCACACCAGTGCCAGCAGCAGCAGGATCAGCATCAGGAACAAGATGAGGGACCTCTTCAGAGCCATGGTAACCTCAGTCACTACAGGAACCTGCCCAGCAAAGAGAGAGTGAGGAGTGAACACAGCTTCTGAGGATGAGAATCCCCGCTCCCATCTGGGATCTCTCTGGAACTCAGTCAGTAAGATTAATCACCTGCAGAACAATTTGCCTGCTAGAATTGACTATCAGACTGCACATATACTCAGGAAACATTTGACTCCCACTTGCTGGAAAGACTCCATTCAAACTTCCCTTCTAGGCATTGATTGCAGCATGAATTATAGTCCTAGCCTTCTTATCTTTCAATGCCACAGGATCGCATATGTGTGTGTTTATTGTTGTTTAGTTGCAAACTAAAATACATCTGGAAATCAAATACATTTTCTACCCATGCTCACAGAATCCCTTTAAGTAAACCAAGAGCCAAACTGCACCTCTAAGATACCCCTGCAAATCCAGGGTGATGACCAACAGAGCCCCATTGTCCTGTAGCACAAGGAAAACTCAGCCTCAGGCTTTAACATGTGCATCTTAAACAGATGCCACCACAGCTTCCCAAAGAGGAGATGCTCATCTCTCTCTCCACAGCCTGGTTCTCTCTGCAGCCAGTGAACCAGTCGGTAGGTCCCCATTCTGCCCCTGCTGCTCTTTACCTCCCCTGACTTTCTCCATGATAAACTTCCTCACTGTGGTTCCCTCGTATTCAATCCTCAAGCAGAAACACGACCTGAGACCACGTCTTGGCTTGCTTACCTAGTTCTTTAACTTGGTCCGAAGAACAGTGAAAGGTCAGTCTTGCAGTGAGTGTATGCCAGGCTATAGATCTTGTAATAATGACAAAACCCTTCCTTTTTAAATAGAGATGGGTGGGAGGAGCTTGAAGTTTCCTCAGAGGAGAGGGCATTGAGGGGAAAAATTGGGGAATAGTCCAGACACCCTTTTTTCACAGCGGCTGGGAGGGGAGAGTCTTTGTCACCAGAAATTTCTGTTATCACCCGAATCTCATCTTTAGCTGCTTTTCTCTCTTCACTAGAAATGGCAGGGAAAAATACAGAGTTCTTATTGCCCCATCCCTAGCTAATCCAGATTACCTCTTTGAAAGTCATTTTTCCAAGTAGCTTTTGGAGATTAAAAAGGACAAAGAACAGGTGATCTGAAGAGAAGAAAACAAAGACCCTTTCTTCTCCAGGAGTCTAGAGGCAGCTTTGACTGAAGTGCCATGTCTCTCAAAAGGACATTTTGTGAGGTGAGGGAGAAGAGGTGTCCAACTTCCCTCATCTGGGTGGCTTCTCCTTTCTGGTGGATAAAAGAGGATAAACCTAAATTGGGAAGAAAGAACGATCCAGAGTGATCTTAACCAATGCTGACCTCTTCTTGCACATACTTTACCTACAGTCCATTAAAGATGAGGGGTTGACTGTTCTTATCTTTAGTGACCACTCACCCCTTGGACAGTGCTAAGTAAATGAACTAAAGGTAAAAGGTAAAGGCCCTCCCGTTGATCGTCGATTTGCTCGAGCGGGCCCAGTAACGTCTCCATTGGAGACTTTGTTGTTACTGTGTCTGGCATATCGAATACTCTCGGTAGCTTGCCAGGCTCTCCGAGAGGGGCGGAGGAATCGAACTCGGGTCGGCCATGTTGGCCGCTTGTAAGGCGAACGCCCTACCTGCTGTGCTGAACTAAACACAAACAAAACACAAAATGCTTTCTGGAGAAAAACATTTATTGGCACTTATAACAGTCTCTATTACCATTATTTTTGTTGTTGTTGCTATTTGATTTTTTTAAGTTGTGATTGATAGTCAAAATTTAGGTAGCAAATCTTAAAATAACTTTGTTCCATTCAAAGTTTTAATGTCCGGAGATGAGGAGATGTCTCACTAGGTGGAGTGCATGCTTTGTCCCAAGGAGACCCGGGTTCAATTCCTGGCACTACATGATTTCCAAAGTTATGTCAATGAGAATAACAAATAAACACCAGGGGATTCGGAATGGAATAAAAAAGCCACTCTAAGCAGCATAGTTCTTTCCAGTAGTTTTCTCTCCTTAAAAGAAACTGGACTGGGCCGCGCGGGCGCTTTGAAGATTGCGGCCGCCTGGTGCCCCCCCCCCCCCGGAGGCTCCGGGCCGCCCGGCTGGTGCTCGGGACGGGCTTATAGTCGCCTGCCCCTCTCGCCCTGGAGTCTGCGCCAGGGCGGCGGGGGCCACTCCGGCCTCCTCGGTGGCTCCCAGTGGCCGCAGCCGAGGAGCTCGTTGTTCCCAAGTGTCCTGTGACCAAGGACCCTGACAGAGAGACCTGCTTTGCATTACAAGTTTGTGGGCTTGGTGGAAGGAGTGGCCCTCCTGGGTCATCTGCACTCTCCAGATGCATGTGTGGGTTCTCTGTTGATAGCGTCTGGGAACGAAATCGGAGAAGGCGGAGGAACAGGAAGACATGGGTTCTCAGGATCTTTTGACATTCAGAGATGTGGCCATAGAATTCTCTCGGAAGGAGTGGGACTGCCTGAACCAGACCCAGCGCTCGTTATACAGGGATGTGATGCTAGAGAACTACAGGAACCTGGTTTTCTTGGCAATGTCATCTAATGACACAGAAGGCCTTTTGCTAAAGAAGTACATAGACGATTCATTCAAGAATGTGATGCTGAAACGATATAGAAGCTGTGACTTAGGATATTTATTCTTCAGGACACACGGGGAAAATAAACCTGCATGTGAAGGGCTGAGAGGATGTGATGAGGAACTTAATCACTGTGTGAAAGGCATACAGAGTTCATTTGGGGAAGAAAGCTTAGACCGTGGGCAAGACTTTCACAGCAGATCTGTCCATAAAGTAGAACTTCATAGAACACCGGTCCCACAGCACTGTTATAAATGTAGTAAGTGTGGGGAAGTCTTTAGACATTGCTCATATCTCACTATACATCAGAGAATCCACACTGGAGAGAGGCCTCACAAACGTAAAAAAATGTGGCAAAGATAGTGATCAACTCTCAAAATTGACTCAAGGTCAGGGAATTGACACTGGGGAGAAATCCACCAAATGTCAAGATTGTGGGAAGGTCTTGCGAGATTTGTCATATCTAAGGAGACATAAGGTCATTCATTCTGGAGCAAGGCCCTACAAGTGTGGAAAATGTGGCAAAACCTTTAAATGGGCTACAAGCTTTAAACAGCATCAGCAGCATCACAGTGGTGAGAAGCCTTACAAATGTAAAGAATTCAGTAAATCCTTCAGTTACTCCACAGGTCTGGCTGTGCATTATAGAACACATACTGGAGAGCAGCCTTATACATGCCAACAATGTGGCAAACTTTTTTACCAGAAGGGAAATCTGGTTATACATCAGAAAAATCATTCTGGAGAGAAACCTCACATATGTAAAGAATGTGGGAAAGCTTTTATCCGATACACAGACCTTATTCAGCATGAGATGATCCATTCTGGATATAGACCTTACAAATGTGAAGAATGTGGAAAAGCCTTTAGCCGATACTCAACCCTTATTCCACATCAGAGAATTCATTCCGGAGAGAAGTCTCACCAATGCAAAAAATGTGGCAAAGCCTTTAACTGGAAATCACACCTGACTCGACATGAGAGGTTTCATTCTGATCAGAACCCTCACAAGTGTGAGGAATATGGCAAGGCCTTTAAACAGTACTCAGATCTTACTCGACATCAGCGAATTCATTCTGGAGAGGTAAAGGTAAAGGCCCTCCCGTTGATCGAGCGGGCCCGTTACTGTGTTTGCTGGGCTCTCCGTTACTGTGTTTGCCGGGCTCTCCAAGAGGGGCGGAAGAATCAAACTCGGGTCGGCCATGTTGGCTGCGTGTAAGGCGAACGCCCTACCGCTGTGCTATTGTTCCAGCCCTCTTCTGGAGAGAAACCTTACAAATGTAAAGAATGTGGCAAAGCCTTCACCCGGTGCTCAGGCCTAAATCCGCATCAGGCAATTCATTCTGGGAAGAAAGTTTAGAGAGATGAATGGAAATGGTGTTAGTAAATCAAGTCTAAATATCTTTCAGGTGGTACATATTGGAATGAAACTTTAGATACGTGAAAAATGTAGCAGTTCCTTTTTCCTGTGCTCAACACTTTAAAATTTGAGGATAGTAATATTAAAGAAATGCTGTAACTAGTAGACATCTGGAAAGAACAGTTTTACCCCAACTACCCTATCCCCTGCCTCCATCCCCGCACCCTGGTTTGGTTGTGTGTGTATGTGGGAGTGTAGTACTTTGGGTGCAACTGGGAGGTTTTTTCTGTTCATTTGCTTAAAGAAGGTAGATTTCCAGGGTAGTTGTGATTTTTTTCTTTTTTCCTGTAAAGAGGGCTGTAGGCCAGATAAGTTTGGGAACCTCTGATCTAGAACCTATTTATTTATTTTATTTTTATTTTTAATTTTTGAGTCACACCCGGCGATGCTCAGGGATTAATCCTGGCTTTGCACTCAGGAATCACTCCTGGTAGTGCTCAGGGGACCATTTGGGATGCTGGGAATCTAATCTGGGTCAGTTGCATGCAAGGCAAATGCCCTATCCACTGTACTATCACTCCTCTTCAGTAATACATGGCTGTTTTAGATTGAGAACTGCTTTTGACATAACTAATTTTGCTATAGCTCATAAAAATGGATGGATTTTTGTATTGGGGCCACACCTGGTGGTGCTCAGGTCTTATTCTTGGCTCTGTGCTCAGGAATCACTCCTGGTAGACTCGGGGATCATATGGGTTGCTATTGATCAAAGCAGGGTCGGCTGTGTACAAGGCAAATGGCCTACCCACTTTACTTTCACTCCAGGTCATGAATGGATTTTAATACTTGTGATCCTGCCACCAAAACGAACCTTTCATTCTAAGTTTTTGTTAACAGTAACTGTAGATTGAGTATCAGTAGATTAAATCCTTTAGCAAACTTCTGTAGTTGCTTAAAACCAAAATTGTATTTGACAGCATTGTTTGTACAGATTATACATTCTAATCTTTTGTATTTATTCACTGACAACTGGGACACAATGAATGTCATAATGAAGATTATATAGGAGGATGATATAGTCATACTATTACTAGTTGTGAATGTTAATTTATAAACTCTTGCCCTATTTCTTTGCACAGGACTCTTGCTAAGACCACAGAAAGCAGAGAGACTCTTGGGTTTGATTGAACTTGACACTGGAGGAACATGGGAACCAGGAAGGAGGAAATGTACATGGGCATGATTATGCCTTGTAGGCCAACTCTGTCAGGAGGAGAAGGCACTTGTAGACCAAACATTTACTCAGGTCTACTGCATTTCATAGTTAGCAGCAGTGAAAGAGACTCATGGTGCATATATATTTTCCCCTAACCTTGATTGTTTCTGTTAACTTCACTCAGCCTTTTGATGTTGTGGTTTGCATTCCTTTGATAATTGTGAAAGTTGAGCATCTTTTGACACAGGTATATTTTACATTGTGTAACACTGAATGGTTTTAGGTTATGTCTTACCCAACTTTGCTATTTGATCTTTTTCTAAAGTATTTATTAAGTTTTTCCGTTAATGACACACATTATTCTCTCTTAGCTGCGTCTTTCATGATCTATATATTTCAGAGCTAATTTCCCTTTTCTGCTTTAGGGTTAATACCCCTTTCACTCCCTTTCTGTAACACAACTGTGTCCTTATTCAAAACCAAAGGTCTTCTGCCCCATTATTTTTAATAAATTGTTTTTTCTCAATGGTGAAAAAAAAAAGAAACTCGCGTTATACCTGTTTTGATACAAAAAAGAAAGAAACTCGCGTTATACCGTTTTGATTTTTATCAAAATCTTCCTCCTTGTTCTGAATTTATATAATCTCAAGCCCAAATTCTGAATTAGCACCCTAATAACTTATTTCCCTGATCCTCAGTCTTTTCATCTCTAAAAACAGATGAATGTAGGAACTTCTTAGATTTTTTCTCAAATAAATAAAGATGAAGAGGATTTAGGCTTAGGAAACACCAATAGAAGCTAGCATTTTTGGCTGCTGACATGTGTGAGGCTGAGACACCCCTTCAGTCTTCCCACCCCAATCCCAATCTGTTTCAATAATACTGGCTTGTGCTTGATAAGTTACTTTCCACAGATGGATGAAGACTAGGAACTACCAGACTCATTCACCAGAAAGAGACAACATGGGATGGGACCTGGCCTTGTACACTAAAAGCAGAGGTTGCAGCCTAGAGAAGATGCTCGCCCACTTTATCTTGTAGAATAAAAAAAACATTGCGAATATGAAAAGTAACCAGGGATTTTATGTGCTAATTCTACATGCAAAGTTCAAACACCCAGGTAGGAGCTAAACCCTTTTTTTTTTTTTTGGTGGTGACTGTTTGGCACGGACTTTCAATTTCACGTTGCAATAGTTCACCTGCCACTTTACCTTCAAACAAGTTTTTATTGTCTCTTAGTTGTTATCTCTGGTGATATTGGTAAGTAAACCTACTTGGGTTTCTGCTCCAGACCACCTGTAAGCTAACTAATTATAGAAAAGTTGAGGGCTGGAAGATAGTAAGAGGGTTAAGTTTCTCATCTTGCCTGTGGCTCACTGCGGTTTGATCCCTGGCACTGCATATGGTTCTGTGCACTGGCCAGGACTCACCTCTCAACATAGAGCCAGGGAAAGCCTCCGAACACTGCTAGGTGTGGCCCCCCAAACCAACCAGCCAAAGAAACATAAAAGGTCCACAACAAAATAGATAAAATGTATTCATATGTATAAGGCATGGCAAGAAATCTTATAGTCTAGTTCTTCCTCTCAGAGAACCCGGCAAGCTACCTAGAGTATCTTGCCCACATAGCAGAGCCTGACAAGCTCCATGTGGCGTATTTGATATGCCCAAAACAGTAATAATAATGAGTCTCATTCCCCTGACCCTGAAAGAGCTTCCAATGCGGCACCGTTCTGAAGAACGAGTAAAGAGAGGCTGCTAATATCTCAGGGCTAGGACGAACAGAGACTTTACTGGCGCCCGCTCCAGCAAATTGATGAACAATGGGATGACAGTGATACAGTGACGTATAAGGGGAATCAAAGAAAAGGAATTCTTATTAAACAAGCTAGGGATAATGGTTTACAAGTTAACTGTTGCAGGTGAATGAAGTGACCCCACCAAAAGTAGTAGGGTCTCATGTGTCATCTGACTGCTGGCTGGTCATTTATATTGCAAGTGGTTTGGGTGAAACAAGAGAGGAAAAAAAGAAGAAAAAAGAGTGCATCTGCCTCTCTTCTGGGCCCAACTCAGCCCCTGGGAATAGTTCAAGTGAATTAGGAATTGGTAAAGTTGACTGTAATGGGTCCCCGCCAACCAAATTCTTAGAAAATTATGGAACGAGGAATTGCTTGTTCTATGTTGGTAATAGGGCGTCAGGAACATGGCCTTCCATTGAGGTAAAGGATTTCAGGAGAATATGAAGTAGCAACATGGCAGAGCCTGGCAAGCTCCCCATGTTGTATTTGATATGCCAAAAGCAGTAACAATAATGAGTCTCATTCCCCTGACTCTGAAAGAGCCTCCAATACGGCCCCATTGGGAAGGACGAGTCAGAAGAGTCTGCTAGGCATTGGTGGAGGGATGAGTACCTTATCACTGTATAACTGAAACCCAAGCACAAAAATTTGTAAGTCTACAACTGTACCTCATGGTGTTTCACTAATAAAAATTAAAAAAAAAAATCTCAGGGCTGGGACAAATGAACATGTTACTGGTGCCCGTTCATGCAAATCCATGAACAATGGGATGACAGTGATACAATGATGAAGTAGCAAAGTAAAGTAATTATGTTTACTTAGAAAAATATGAGCGCAAAGAGGAGAGTGTTTTATGCATGTGCCATTTTTTAATTGCTCTTGACATATTCGGTGACGCTATTTATTGTTTTTTAAGGCGTAACAGTTGGTGATGCTCAGTGGTTACTCTTAGCTCTGCACTCAAGAATTACTCCTGGCAGTGCTCTCAGGATCATATGGGATGCTGGGAATTGAACCTAGGTCGACTGCATGCAAGGCAAATGCCCTACCCACTGTAATATCGCTCCAGCCCTTAAGATGAACCTTAACAAAGAGGCATAGAATAAATCTTGTTTAAAGGCTTCCAGTCTACTTGCAATGTGACAAATTAGCCCCTTGGAAGGGCCAGGAAACCTAAGACGCTTTGGAATCTCAAGGGTGAGTAATTAAGTCCCCAAATACAAGTGTCACAGGTGAATGCTGATGATAAATAACTTTTTTTTGCAAATACCTGAGAACCTGTCATCTCAAAGTTAAGCATCAGTTGATCTAAAATTTTTCCTTTACTACTTATCATCTAAATATGAATCCCATTCTGTAGTGCCAGAGCAGGATACTGTACCTCTCTGACTACAATAAGAATTAAACCTTGCACGTGACTCATATCGGTACAGTCCCAGTGCTGCATATCATATGGCCCTCTGAGTTTTGCCTGTATTGATTCCTGAGCACAGAGTCAGCAGTGAGCCCTGAGTACAACCAGGTGTGATACAAAAACAAAAATAAAAGGAGAAATAAAATAAAAGGAAGAAGAACAATGTCTCATTAGATCTACAGAAAGGGAAAATATGATCCTATGATGTTCCTTGTAATTCCTCCAAAATCTAGGATTGTGTGGAGGTAAGTGAAATAAAACAGACTATTCTAACTCTGTAGAACTGTTACACTGTCCTCCCATTGTTCATCGATTTGCTCAAGTGGGCCCAGTAACATCTCCATTGTGAGACTTGTTGTTACAGTGTTTGACATATCGAATATGCCAAGGGGAGCTTGCCAGGCTTTGCCGTTCGGGCAAGATACTCTCAGTAGCTTGCCGGGCTCTCCAAAAGGGGTGGAGGAATCGTACCTGGCTCGGCCAGGCCGGCCGCATGCAAGGCAAATGTCCTACCGCTTTGCTATCGCTCCAGCCCTACTAACTCTATTTTGGAAAATAAAACAGTCTCTCTCTGGGAGAAATCACCTTGTTCTAATTTGTTCACTTCATTCTAATAAGAACTCTATACTCATGTCTGGAAAGTATTTGTCAATGAAGACTGACTGGAGAATGAAAAGTGAATGGCACCTGGATCCAGAGACCTCACTTAAGCTCCATCAACAATTTTAGAAATTGGGGACATGAATGATAGTACAGCTGGTGAGCCTTTGCCTTGCACACAGTTGACCTGGGTTTGATTCCCAGCATCCCAGATGGTCCCCCAAGCTTTCCAGGAGTAATTCTTGAGTGCAGAGCCAGGAATATGCCTTGAGTGTCACTGGATGTGACCACCCCATACCACCCTCCCAAAAGAAAAAAGTTTCAGTGACATAAGTCAAAAGAATCATCATAATTATGTTAGTGGCTCAGCGAAGTGTGGAGCACAGGAAATAGGTCCAAGAAGAGTGTTTCCAGCTCTCTGTTCAACCCACATTGGCCTCCAGTGCTCAAGGAAATGTTTGACTTAGCCCTGAACCTAAGCACAGGTATTTGGGTCTGTCTCCTCTCCCTCACAGAAAAAAAATTTCAGGAGGATATGAAATAGTGAAGCAAGGTAGGTTTTATTGAAATGTATTAAGAATGATAATGGGAGGGGCTCGAGAGATAGCACAGAAGGTAGGGCATTTGCCTTGCACGCGGCCGACCCGGGTTCAATTCCCAGCATCCCATATGGTCCCCTGAGCACCTCCATGAGTAACTCCTGAATGCAGAGCCAGGAGTAACCCCTGTGCATCGCCAGGTGTGACCCAAAAAGCAAAAGAAAAAAAAAGAAGATGGGAGTGAGAAGTTTACATTCAGAGAATTCAGAGAGGTTTTCTCTAAAGTGGAAATACACAAGCAAAGAAATATCAAAACAAGCAAGGGAGAACCAGGGCTTGAAGAGCCAAACTCCAAATGACTTCCAGGAAGAGCTTTTATACAGTTCTTCCAAGTGGGTTTTTTTTTTTAATTTCAATCTTGTTCTTAGATCCAGTCAAAGCATTCTTTATAGGGATTGCAAATCTTTGGAATTTTTAAGGATCTGTGGTCACCAAATAGCACTTCAACATACCATTGTTGTATTTATATCTCATGAAATTAGTCACCATATTTTGACAGACTGTTAACATAATGTATTACAGAATCACTACAAAGTCCCAAGGAAGAAATGTCCCACCATGTCACTTCATCTCACTATCACAATAAAGGCCAATCATGGAGGTAGAGATTGATTCATGTAGGTACAAGAAGTGCTTGTGGCCAAAACAAAAACAAAAAAAGAAAAACACTGGCAAAACTAGAGGCAAAACATTTTAATTCTTGCGATGAATTTGAAGTTGCTTAATTTTTCTGTTGTAGATTTTGTTTACTTAAAACCTTGTACAGTAGTAGACATTAATCCATTGAGATCTTATATTAGCAAACATTTCCATTGATTCAGAACTCCCTAAATTATCCAGACAAATCTTAGTATTTTAAGCTATACTTGATGATATAAAAACAAGCACAAATAAAACCAAAAAGTCTTCTCTCCTTCACATGAACTCAGATCCGTAAAGCATCTTTATTACCAATTCTGAGTGAACCAGGATGGTCTCTTCTGATCTCGTTCGATGATCCTCTTGCCCTTATCTTGTTCAGTCGGTGTCTCTCCCGCGTAGAGCACCACAGTCTCTGAGGCGGGCGCCTTGTAAGGACCCCCCTCCTGCTTTCCGATCCTGATTTCTGCAGTCTCCTTGCGCACCTTTTCATATCAAATGCCACAGAGGACGTGTTTCTGTTTCAGGTGACCACATTCAGGACAAATGTCTATATTGTTCTTAATAAGCTTCGGAGGGTTTCTCCTTCTACACCGGTTGACTTTAATGCTGCGCCTATTTTTGGGAGCTGCCATCCAAAAGATACTATCCAAAAGGCTGGAAATCTCATCTCCATTGGTATCATTTGC